CAGTAGACTCGTGACGGTCCAGTCTGACTATGCGTCAATTTGAGATGGTGAGAATTTATTGACGTAGTCAGACTGGTCGAACTCGGAGTGATTTGGCAGGCGAAGCGAGGAGTTTGAAATTTTGCAGATGCCGGTATGCCGATTTGGGTAACAGCGCAAACTCTTTTGTTTGTACCGTGAAAAGTACAGTACTTATTCTTATCCTCTCAAATACAACAGTACATCGCCCCGGAGCACTCTTCATTGATCACTAGGACAATCAAAATGATTACATTTCATGCATTATACCCACCCGTGATGATGTATCAGCAGCCTGAACCTTTGGCTTGGATGGTCAATCCTTCCAGCCTCGACGAGGAAGGAAAAATTCTCGCTGTCCTCAAAATACTTCGTGGATTGCGGATGACAGTCATGGACCTCATGTTGTATTCAATTTCAAAAAGATCCTCCATGGCAACTTGGAGAGAAGGTTTCTTTCGAAGCAAGGCACTTGTGCAATTTCTGAATGTGTTGGACATGGATGAGCGAGTGAGTAAGCAACCTCACACCAGTTTACGACCCCGAAAGGAATGATACGACTCGTGAGGCATCTGAGCTGGAACAATTTCGGATGTTGTGAAAGAAGATCGAGTCGCGAGAAAGCCTCGAGAACTTGCTGGTGTTGTCACTTGTGTCGTTCAAGTTGAGAGGGCCCTCGTAAAGTCCGTTGGTAGATTCTCAATTGTATCTCGAGCAGCGAGTGATAAAGGTCGTACAGAACTCATGGTTGAAATTTCACATAACGTACAGTCTGAGCGAGAGCAGACACATAACTTGTGCTATATGATCGTAACTACCACCGGCACGACCGGCACCTATCAAATTTCGAACTCCTCGCTCCGCCCTGCCACGCCACTCCGAGATCAACCAGCCTGGCTACACCACTTGTGCAACCGTGGTAGTATTAGGCCAGGCTGGTCACGAGCCTAGGGTGCGAGTACAGTATGAAGCAAGAAGGTGGGAAAACAAAAGAACCGCGGACTCAAAATAGATGATACAATTGAATTGAACTTCTATATTTGGCCATCTACGCTCACATAAGCTCAGGTAACTAGGTTCCAATTACCAATGAAAGTTGAAACAAATGAAAACGTCCTTCGAATCCATTCAAACGTCCGAAATTTAAGCAAAGCCCGCAAATTCGTTGGTAATAGGTACGCATAAGTATTCAGATACTTATGTGTCGTACAGACTGACAGCATGGTGTCACCTGACCAGTCTGCTGGCTACCTTCGTCTACGTGTCTGCCGCTGGCTAGTGAGTCTTGGTCGACTACTGCCCTCGCACAGCTAACGGCTTCCAGCTATATATTCCGAAAACCTTCTAGTCACACACTGATCAAGCATTTGATGTGCGTTATATAGGTTTTTGGTGTGCCGGAAGAGCGGTCCCAAAACCGTCAAGGTCTTAAATCGTTCAGTCTAGTTCATAATGTTCATTACACTTGCCTTATACTGTCTCGTGGCATCAGATTATGGCGTTGATATTCAGTTATTTCAGATTGCAGCCGTTGAATGGTGCGTCACTTGTTGTCATATTCTCGATCCGTTTCTGTTTTGATCTAGACCAGCTAACCCGTATTGACTTGTACAAAAGCCAGAACATATCCAACTTCACAATGTGCACTCCTTGTCTTCTTGCGCATCACATCCTGAGTGGTCTGTGGCTCCAGCAACCCGAAGACCCGCCCGTCGACTTCCAACTCTACCACCACAGTCTTATTGCTCATTCTAATCGCGGATATCACAAGTCTGCACATCATTTGTCTATTCCATTGCCTTCGAGCTAATCTCTACATCTGATTTCAGGGTTCAGAATCATAGTTTATCTCATGTTTCCTTACACTGTCCTCGCTGGCTGCCTTTTTTCCTTGTCACATACAGTGTCGGTAGTATCTTCAAGATCCAACTATGATGGCTCGCCGTCTAGCGCGCCCCCGTTCACCATCAAGCCTGTTACTGAACTCGTCGTCGTTAATAAAGTAATCGCGCCTGACGGCTTCGCACGGTCGTGAGTTAATACCCACATGTTCCCCTACCTGTCTTCATCTTCATCCTGTACAGGGCAACGCTTGCAGGAGGGATTTTTCCTGGTCCTCTCATCAAGGCGCAGAAGGTTTGCGCTAGTGTTTAATTAACGTCTGACGCTGATTTTTCGAAGAATGACAACTTTAGCATCAATGTCGTGAACAGGTTACATGACAAAGATATGCCTTTGTCGACGAGTGTAGTATGTGCTTTGCTCTTTTCTCACCTCAAGTTCTCTGATACCCTTCAAAGCATTGGCATGGCATCCAACAAAAGAAGACGAACTGGGCAGATGGCGCATCATTCGTCACTCAGTGTCCGATCCCTCAAAATCGCTCCTTCCTCCACCAATTTAGCGCACCCAACCAGACTGGAACTTTTTGGTTCGTGCCCCTATTTTCTGTGAAGGAGGAAGGCTAAAGTATGTCTTACGATAGGTACCACTCGCATTTTTCCACCCAGTATTGTGGGTGTTCATAACTATCTATGTGACCTATGCTACACAACTTTACATCCAGGTGACGGTCTTAGAGGTCCGCTTGTCATATATGACCCTGAGGATCCCCATCAAGATTTGTATGACATAGATGACGGTTTGTATCTTTCCTTCCATGTTTAGACAGAGCGTTGATCATCTTTGGCATAGAGAACACAGTAATCACGCTTTCCGACTGGTTCGAGTTGTCTTGTCAGCCTTTTGCATTCCAAATCTTATCACTTCCTTCAGGTATCACGATCCTACGCCCAAGTTAAACAAAATTTTCGGCCCCATCACATCCAACTCCACCCTCATCAATGGTCTGGGGCGCTATCCTGGCGGACCCAAATCACCTCTTTCTGTCATCAATGTCGAACAGGGCAAGCGTTACCGGTTCCGCATCATCGGTCTTTCTTGTGATCCATCATATAAATTCACTATCGATGGCCATACCATGACGATTATTGAAGCAGACGGTATCGAAACTGTCCCTGAGACTGTGGATGCTCTTCCAGTGCTCGCTGGCCAACGCTACTCCGTTGTCGTCCACGCGAATCAGCCTGTGGATAATTACTGGGTTCGCGCACCATCCAACTTTGCAAATCAAACGTTTGCAGGTGGCTTGAGTCAAGCCATTCTCAGGTACAATGGCGCGCCAGATGAAGATCCTTCGAGCACTCCTGGACCTTACATCTTGCCATTCAACGAAGGGAAGCTTGCTTCTTTGCTCAGCATCCCCGTCCCCGGTTTCCCCGAGATTGGCAAAGCAGACGTCCACATCAACTTACTTGCCACCACTGTGAATGGTATATTCATGGTCAACAATGTTACGTACCACAACCCTCCGACGCCGGTTCTGTTGCAAATGCTCAGTGGAGCGCAGCATCCGTCAGATTTATTGCCGAGCGGAAGCGTATACGAGCTTCCCTCAAATAAAGTAGTGGAAATCACCTTGCCCTACACAGGTTCACTTTTTGGAGGTACAGTAAGTGCGTCCCAGTATTTCTCACTCTTGTTGCTCACCATCATTATAGCATCCTATCCACCTTCATGGAGTGCGTCGTTCTGCCGTTTGTGTGTGATTCCCCGTTCTAACGCACCCGACAGCACACCTTTGCCGTTGTTAGAACGTCGGGAAATAGCACGCCAAACTTCGTCAACCCAATCTGGAGGGACACAGTTAGTATGGGATCGAAAGGGGACAACGTTACAATACGTTTCGTCACGGACAATTCTGGACCGTGGTTTATCCATTGGTGAGCATGTATTCTCGTTACATTCCATGTTGCGTATCTCATGATGTGTTTACCAGCCACATCGACTTCCATTTGAACCAGTACGTATGCACAGGTAATCTTTGAGCCACGAGCTCATTCCTATGTAGCGGCTTTGCGGCGGTCATGGCCGAAGCTCGGGATCAACTTCCCAGCCTCAACGCAAGTATTCCAGGTATGGGTGCCGCGCTAGTCGTCCCCAGCACACTAAACGGAACTTTCTAGCATCTTGGGCGTCGCTATGTCCTTCAAACCAGACATCTAGTCAAGCACGCCTAGGTTCCTTCAATACTACAATATCACACCTGGGCTCCTTCAATAAGACCACACTCACATGATCTATAAAATCATTGAGCATTCAAATCTCTCAACTCTGACCATTTCTACGCGTTATACCCCTATTTTATTTACCACTTCTGATTCTCGAAAATGTATCGTTATATCCGGGCACCTGTCCTTCACATGACAATGATTTATTGTCACGCGTTTTATCTATGTTTTTATTCCTCCATTTAATAACTCATCTGGATACAAAGCATTGGTTCATCTGCTCATCGTTGGACTGCCGATTCAGACAATTTCCAAAGGTATCTCACTGCGTTCATAAAGAGATTACAAATGCTGCAGTACGACCAATGAGTCCTGACCGGAGACCCCTGTGGTTGCTACGGAAGCTGGCTACTAGCATGCTGTTCTCAAGCCGACAACTTGTGTCAGAAAATGGTTCCGACAAGTATATATCTGGTATGAGGTTCACTGGAGCTCTGATTGGACGAGTAGGGCAGGCTAGTGAGTAAAGGCTATTATTACTTCCCGACCTAACAGCAATATCATATACTCTTGTAGACCAGATCAGGCTAATAACGTCGTCGACTACATAATAATTGGCTAAGGTCCTACCCGACTCCATTTGCGTGAAGCATTTTTCAATGATGTTACCAGGTTTACTAGCCTGGGCTGTGCATATAGAGTATCACACCTTTCTGGCTAGTGACGGCGACGTTGTCCTGTTCGTAATCAAGAGGTTTGCCGTCGCTGTTCCTACTACTACTCGGGCAGGTCAGAAGCAAATTTGCAGCTGACGACAAGCTTAGAGGTGTGCGACTTGTGGTTCGAATCTGCCTCTGGCACATGTGAAGCCCATGCACATTCGCCTTTGTAAACGGTACATGTATACTGTTGCTATGACTTGTACAAAAATTGGTACATATGTACATACTCGTGAGTGTACAATTCTATATAGAAGCAAGACTCTTCCTTCCATTCTGGTCTGGCTAGGCAGGCTAGTACTATTATACACACAACAGCAGAAGTCAAAAACGTTTCGAGTAGGAAAAAAGGAGAAACATGATGCGCGTTCCGCGGGAAATAAAAGCAGCTTCACACAAAGCAAGACAGACAATGATGTAGCTTTCTATAACGGTAGTCATCGCAATGAGAATCGTGCATCGCAGGCAAGAAGTGAAACCGTGTTGCATACAGAAATAGCTGTGGACTTCACAATGGTCCTTGGGAACCAGCTTGACAATTCTGTTCTGCTTGACGATATGCGCATCCTTCCCGAAATAGCGGGCGGACTCGAAGGACCACTGCAGCGGACCGACAATCCAGTTCTGCAGTCCTTCGACGTACTTAGCCACATCCTTGTCGACTTCTTCTCCCCACGAGGGGAGGATAGCAGGGTTTTCTTCGAAGCGTCGTAGGAAGATATTGCATAGCTGGGCGTAGTGGTCAACAGCGCCTTGCAGGTCGAGACCTTGTTTGACCATGAGCACAGCAATTAAATCATGTGTGCTATGGTAAGATTGCTCCATGTTATAGGAATAAATATCCTGTCAGCAGCGACGTCAGTAGTGCCCCAACTTCGATGACAGAATGAGGTATTACATTTGACCAAGAAACGAAATCATTGGTTGCCTCCTCCAGCGCCATGATGACTGGATGCGAGACTACTTCTTCGGGAAGATCAATCTGACAGACGAATTCGACAACGGCAAAGCAAGCCTTGCAGCTGCTCAAGTCGCGCCTCAATTCGATGTAAGATTCAACATCATTGATATGTCCCTTGGCGCGGTTCTCCACCTCCTTGGCCGCAGCGATAAACCACAAGTCCATTGCATGGATAAAGCGCTCTGTGCAGCCAGGGCTGGCAGTCTCCTTAAAGCGACTGAAGAATCTAAAAGCCGTAAGATGATTGAAATGTGTGCGCGATGAGAAAAAAATAGACACACGATTCGCACAACTTTCCACTATATCTTTCCGTCTGGAAGTTGACGGGATCACGGAACGCAGACATGCAGCAGTCGCGTACTCCCCATGCATCATTGACGTCAGACCTTTCGATCTCAAGCCAGTCATCCAATTCCATGACCAGCCATGGAAGTCCGCGCAGACTTTGATATGGAAAGCATCCGCATCAGGGTAACAAGATGAAGCGAAGTAACCTGGGCGCAATATCGTAGTATATTTAGTAACATCAGGTTCTACTAGACGGGCTTCGCTACAAAGCCATTGGTCAGTAGCGCGAGATACCGAATCACAGTGAGGGTTTAGTCGCATGGGGTAGCGGCAATCGCTGAAGAAGTCAGGTAAAATGAACTCTGTGGGCTGGGAGTCAGAACGAGTAACGGTGCAAGTTGCGGTAGAAGCCATGGAGGTTGTTAGATTTGTGTCGTGAATGTCGATGAGTGAATGGAGAGATCAGAGAACCAAGTTATGAGACAGGCTCAGAAACATGCCACCCTTTATACTATGATCTTGCTAGCGGGTATGTCGTGTTGGCTCGGACGATCGCGTGATTTTGGAAATGAGGGTGTAGACTTACCTGTTCTATATGTTACCTACTCGAATTATAGTAGGGTTTGAATCGCGCTTCTCTAGAGTCTAGACAGGGTGAAAACCTAACCGAGCGTCACCTATTCCTGTAGCTTTGATATCACTAACAAAAATATGAGACTCGCGCTATTCGATGTACAGAAGATGAGACTTTTCTCGTTAAGTGTTGTTCGTAATTGTTTCGTATGAGTACTGGATCTCTTCTATAAATATGACGCTTACTTCAAGGATTTTCCCTCTGCATTCCCCTTCCGAAAGTCATTCGTGATAGAAATAGTCAAGATGATCAAATGTCAAACACGAGGACAACGAACTTTGGTACATCTGATCATTGAGATCGACGGACCCATCTACGACCTTGCGTGGGAGGGTAGAATTGGCTTGGTCGGTTCCGCCATAGCTCCGCGGAGACTACCGCTCAGTCATAATGCTAATAGGCATCCAGCACGTCTATCACAGTACCTGCTATAGTAGCACGATGGCCATGAAACACGGCGCTGCTATAGCTGTCGTCCGAATCTGTCTCGTGTGATAACCTAATACCATCGATATCGGTTCCGAGACTCTATGGGTCATCTGCTTGAATGACCCACCGGACCACCGCGCCGCCGCCCAACCGATGGATGCGTTACAGTCACATCAACGTTCAAAAATACGTAGTAAGAATCATATTACTCATCAGAAATGTTCCTTGTCAAACCTGCTTTAGTCGCAAGTTGGCAGAAATGATAAGAACAACTTGAAAGCGTTCTGAGGTAAAAAATAAATTCCGAACTTCATTAGATCTTGGTGAGTGTCACGTACCGCACTAGTGACTCACGTAGCCTATATTGGCTATGCCATTGTGAGTGCATATAATTTAGGTTGAGTAACGTTTGATAGTTGTTGAGCTGTTTGGATTCCATCAATTTCCGTCGTTCTCTGTGCAAGGGCGTCCAGTGACCGATTCTGGGGCCTGAGGCCAATTTTAATCACTCATGACACGTCACGTGGTTTATAATTATACGCGCTGAGACTAGTCGAGATGTTGATCCTCGCTTGACAAGGAACCACCACCGCATCTTACCTGCTCCTTCAATGGAGCCTCACCAAGGACACAGAATGACCCTATTTTCTAAACCACGCCATAATCAACCTGACGATAGTAACGGTCAAAAGCCTCTGTTCATGACTCCACAACCTGGACACACTGAAAAAAAAATAGCAGTCCCAGCATTTAGCAACAGCTCACAACGAACATTTACACACACACGGAGCTCCAATTTTGCAGAGAATGCGGCCTCCAGAAATCTGGCTGAATCTAGCCTCCATTTTCCCAGTTTCAAGTTCAACACGACAACTTCCCGCCTGGAGTCGCACAGCCCAAGTTCTCAGCGCTCACCTTCCTTCTATGACACAAATAGCGGACTATCAGCAAAGGTATGCCGCATATAATCTTACGTTGGTTCTGAAATTATGCTGTGTCATTACAGCGTCCCAAAGTGGAGATAAAGAAAGAGGACCACGGTGATTATATGCGCCTGAATTGCTATCATTTAATATCATTTAATATCATTTTTCCAGACATTGATGGACACAAGAAGTTTACGATGCCCGGAAAGCAACTTTTACAACATTTTCCTGCAGAATATCGATACCCCCCATTAAAGACGACCACAGAAGAGATCGGTTCTCAAGCAAGTTTAGGTGTCCTTGGGAGTGATATGACTGAAGAGGACCTCATCATCACAAAAATGGCTAGCAGTAATCGTCGAGCGAATGTTGAGCTAGTGAGACTGGTACGCTGACCCTCTTCAGTTTTCTATATCACAACGTCCATCAACATCATTATAGCGGGAACATAACGCCGAACTCGAATCCCAGCTTAGTATCAAGACTGAACTCGTCGCCGATCTCTCACGACAGAATACGGAGTTGTCTCGTCAGGCGTCGGACGCCTCTCATCAGAACTCAGAATTATCTCGACGAATCGCCCAACTTAAATCGACAACCAAGGAAGCGATTGACAAGGCTAACAGGAGGTTTCTAAATATTTTGTGCATCCGTTTTCCATCCGCTGATCTCATGCAGTTGCGTCGAACTCAGAGATTCTTATGAGGCGCTCCGAATTCAATTTCAAGCATCATCTACCTTGGTGAACGATGCCCGAAAAACAATGGAAAGCCTTGAGGAGCTTCGGGACGCCGCTCGCACCGGCCTCCAAGGTCAGTTCACTCTCCGATTTATCATCTTTGTTCGCCGGGTTGTGACTCAGAATAATTAAAGTATTCCTCGACGATACTGGGCATCTACCCAATGTGGGCCAGACAAGGACAGTTGTGAACGAGCTACAGGCTGAGCTTACTCGGAGTGAGTCACATCTTCCCATGGGAAATCAGTACGGCACATTATGTGTGCAGCTCAACAGGTGGCCGATCTCCTGCGTGAAAAATTGCAAAATATGGGTTCTGAGCTGATAGATTCCCGGGCGCGCGTTGCGGAACTGGAGGAGCATTTTGGGAACGATAGAAAGTTAATTGCCTCAACAACATCGGACCTTGAGCGAACCTGTAAGTTGGGTCCTTGTCATCTTGATGAATAGCGATTCTCATGGCCATCCAGCCGAGCGCGTTGTAGATATTGCTGAGTACCTGAAGCTCCAGAAGCATGAAACAATTGACGCTCTCAGCAAACTGGCGCAAGCGGAGGATCGGCTGGCTCACAGCCAGTCACGGTAATGAATACATCTGATGGTCATATGATATTTTGTCTAATTCTGGATGACAGCTTGCAAGAACGCGAGGCGATGGTACATTCCATGCGGCAAGAGATGGAATCTATGAGACAGGAGTATGATTCTGCGTTTCTGGCAATTCAGCTGCTGGTAACACAATATTCGTAGGATTTCCGAGTTTGAAGAAGCTATGCATGACGGTAAAGCGCAAACTCGGATCGTGCAGAACACTGTAACGTTTCAGGAACAACACATAAAGGACCTAGAGGAGAGGTGGATTTTGCTAAATTTTATCGATAATGCCTGCTGAATCTTGACATTCAGGTTACAAAAGGCCGAGACGGAGTTAGTACATGCTCACAATAGATCGCAAGACCTTGAATCTCGCTTGGAAGCCTCGAACGATATTGAGAAAACTCTGGTTCAGCAGAATGCGCGCCTCACCTCCGAAGGCGAATCTATCAGGGAGCGACTCCAGATTGCTGAAGCGGGACAGGCAGATATCCGGAATCTAGAAAGGGAGGTATCAGCACGGAGTGCGAGGCTTGTGTCGGAACGCGATACACTCCTTGACAAACTTCAAATTGCACATGGGCAGCTGGCAGATGCGAATCGAGAGGAGGAAAGCTACCGCGAAAGGCAGTTCACGCACTCTCCTCATAACGAAATCTTTGACCATTACAATTAGATTTGCAGAAACGCGAACGTCGCTGAAGGTTAGCCTCGTGTCATCCAGTCATTTCATGTTTACCTTGTCCCAGGTTCTTCAGGAACGTTTCGACGACCAGTCCGTTACTCTCAGGCTCACCAAGGAATGTGTCGGCGAAGCTCAGGTAATCCCGCGCTTTCTTGGCCCCACCCTGAGCTGAGCTCACTTGTCTACAGGACCGTCTGCAATCCACAAATAACACAATTTTGGTAGCGTGTACTCCGGTGTCATGTCCACCAGCATATTTATTGCGTGACATAGGCTCTGAACGAAAAGCTGGCGGAATCTGTCAGCCGCGTCAGTGTTGTGGAGGAACGCGAACGCTCATTGCAGCGTAGACTCGACGAAGCCATCGTCGCCACAACCGCCGAACGGGACTTGATTGGCAGCCTTCGGAAGGAACTTTTAGACTGCCAGATAGACCTCTCCCGGCAGCAGGGCATTCAACGAGCCACAGAGCAAATTGCAGAACAACGCGTTCGCGATGCTGAACGACGAATCGAAGAGTTAAACTCTAAAACAGACTCTCAGCGTGGCGAGCTGGGCCAGAAGCAACAAGTCATATCCGAACTGACCCAGCGCCTGGCTATTGCCGAAACTCCTTCTGATCTGCACGAACAAGAGCTCCTTGTTCTGAAAACGCGCATTCGCGACCTTGAACAATCCGAAACGCAACTTCTCCAAAGATCGACGAACATCACCGTCCGACATGAACAAAATGACCTGGTAAGACGAGTATAATTATTCGATGACTGTTTATCTCGTTCGCTTTAGAATGACAACGAGTGGACGTTGGTCCAGAACCTTGCCAAAAATGCCACAGAAGTCTTTGAGCGCGAGCTAGCAGAAAAGAACAATGATATTCGAAGGGTTGGTGTTCTCTTCTTCTGATTTGTCACTGATCTCCTTTGGTTTTCAGAGAGACAACCTCATCAAGCAACATGAAGCTCGCATCATGCAATTAGAAGCAAGCCTAGCCCGTCGCATTAGGGAAGTTGTAAGGAACACGCCCTTGATAAACAATGTGCAGCTGACCTTGATTTTTCGCAGCCACAAGTCGGAAGCTCAAGGCACGATAAGCAAGATGAAACTTTCTGGAACGAGCCCCCATCCGGACCCGGGGACCCACAGAATTCCGGTGCATTGCCATGCTAGGAAAATTAGACTTAGCTAAAATATTTCACAGGTGTGCATGGGGCAACGAACCATTTAATTGTCAAAGAACCTCGACGTGCCGACCACATTCCACTCGCGAACAGTGACTCCGAAATTGAAGACGAGAAGGACCTCGCAATGCGGCAAGTGAAGCGGACGATCTCTGTCGATGATGAAGAGTTGACCAGACCGGCAAGGCGACCGGTAAGTACTCCAGCCGTGCCGTACCGATTATCAACGGGCAACCTGACCGCAAAAGAAAAATTCAAAATATCCGGAAATGGAGAAGACAGCGGACAAGGTTGGTGTTTTCTCTCATCGCCTGTCGTCATCATACCTCGAGTCGGTGCTAGGTCCCAGGTCCATCAAAGAAGAAGACGAACAAGCGACAGAATCGGTAGTTGGCAGTGATGGGCTACGTTGCCTCTGTTTAAGGTTCAGCGAATGTGTATGGGCTGGTCCAGTCTGCTGATTGTGTCAGCGTCATTATCGTGTACTAGTAGTATTTGTCTTCCAGAGAGACGCGTGACCTTTTCGCGTGGTATCAGGACTCTGCAGCATAGTGTATGCAATGCATACAACACATGGCATTCAAGAAATTAGCAATGATACAAGACGTCAGTGGTATAAACGGTAGATACACTTTCGATGCGATTGTCGTCGGTGAAGTTGAACAAAAATCAACGTGGTGGATGAGGGGACCTTATGGATGCAGGGCTAATAAGTAGACAGTGGAGTAGCAGTCCAAGAAATGCAAAACGAGAAAATAGGTATACATATATGCACAAGAATCGGAACCAAAACGTCCGAGATTACCCGCTAGTCCGGAAGGCGTAACATATCGCCTTCGAAGATGATGTCACCACGGTCTTGTAAAGCGGCCGCCGCTTTGACGACTTCGGCTGTGTCAAAGTCCTCGTGTTTGTCTGCAGGTATGGCAGAGTTTAAGTAGGTCAACAGGGAAGATATGGTCATGTCATCCGTGCTGTCATAAGTGGTCATAAATAGATATGCGATTGACGAAAAAATGAAATCCATCCTGACAGCAGGGCTCAGCCATCAGCATCATCATTTGGAAATATCAAAGTCAGGCGACTAAGAGTAACGTACCGGCCAGGAACGGTGGTCAAGTCAGCAAAACTAAGCGCAAGACGGCGGTTCAGGCGGCTCGTCGACCCGGAGGCTTCCGTTGGCGCCTGAAGGTCGCTTCCCTTTGGGCGGATAGAGCGGACGGTTTGTGATGATCTCTTGCTGGTGGAAGCATTATCAGGAACAACCCAAGCGGGGCCAGTGCGGTTGCTTCCATTGTCTAATCGTTGTTTCTTTGTAGTGTGAAGAGACCGAAAATCCGAAAACCTGGCCTTGCGCTTGTCATCCATGGGGAGTTCCTGGGTGTCGTGCGGTTCCTCTGATTCTAGTTCATCTTCGGCAGACGCATCATCATCTGACAAGCTTCCGTCGTCAGGATGGGTTGTGCCACCTTTGGCTCTAATTTCTGCAACTTCTGCAGCTTTCTGAGCTCGCCTCTGACTGAAAGAGCAACGCAGTTGGTGTCAGTGTGAGATGCGGGAGAAAGCAGATATGGTTAGAATGGTGGAAATACTCACTGTCGAGCTAAACACTTTCCCCGATGCTGTATCCATGGATACGCGCAGTATGAACTATCTTGCCGAAGCTGAACCCACTTCCTGCAAAGAGAACAGAATACTCTGTTCGGCTCAACCTCTTCAACTAGAGGATCGGCCTTGAGAGTTGCAGCTCGTTGTTCGGCATTTCGTCGACGAGATTCATGAGCTGGAAAATTGGTGGGTGTCAAATCCTTGAATGATGAAGACGGCGAGCACGGTGTTGCCGGTGGTATGGGAGTTTTTCCGTGGACTGGTGAGCCTGAAGGACGTCTTGAAGTTGCAGACACATGTTGGCTATCTCGGGCTGCTGTGTCAGATTTCGGTGGCCTTGAAAAAAAAATAGGAATGAGAAAACGAAGTAAAACATCAGATTGAGAGGCTCAACTGAGACGATGAAGCTTCCGCTTGAGCTGCGGAAGACTGTGCAGCACCCTTTTGACAGGACGATCTGTGGTGTAACCACTTTTGGACTGCCTGCATATGGTTTTCGGGGCTGACTTGGATCCAACGGTCGCAAGTATTGCACAGTACCCGCTCGGCATCAAACTTGCGGACGTCCGGGTCTTTGGAGAGCAATGAATTTCTCTCTTCGAGGGCACAACCATTCTTGTTGTTACTGGGGATGCGTGAGTGGCGAAATGATAAGAAAGGGTATGGATTCGCTCACATCTTTTTTGACAAGCAACTCTTGCGGTGAGCATCCCAAGGGATGGAGCAATACGTGGAATTAGGACGGAGTCGGATCCACTTGTCGCACGATGCACATAATACGCGATATGCCTCGAACTGTGCGACGTAAGGATCCGCCCTAAGGTAGTCAATGCGTTCCTCTTCAGTGCGCTTAGCGCGCCGCCGTTTGGCAGGAGGGTTGGCAAGGGCCTCTGCCGTACTTTCCGGAGTATAAATGACAGGTTCTGGCACGGCCTGAGTTGTGTTGGCACTGCCGGGACAGATTAGAAACAAAGACATGATTGATCAAGGCGACATCGATACCATTGCTGGCGATGGGCGTCCCAGTGTTTCAGGGTAAATCCGCCGGTTGCTTCGTCACGAAAGGAGACACCCTCACTGCAGACTTCACACATGACACGACCGGTTTCATACTCGCCTTTTGGAACGGCGACTGAGTCGTCTACACTCTCGCCTTCAGCGTCAGCGGAATCTCCTCGTTCTGGAGGGGTTTTCCGCTTTCGGGAATTTCTGTAGAATAATTGGTGATGAAAGGGATCATAGGATCGAATAAAATCGTACGGAGATGAATCATGAGGGAGGTCTCGAGGAGGAGAGGTATCTGACCTGATGTTATCAATTAGCAGGTGAAATAAATGAGGGCTGGGAAGGGGAAAGAAATACTTGATGTCATCTATGTCCATATCCTCCGACATTGAAGGAATAGTGGAGGATTCGAAAGAGAGGAGGCAGGAGATGGGGAGAGGGATTAGGTATGATATTGGGGGCGTTCGGGAAGGGTTAATATGTGTAAGCTGCTGTTCGGGTGCCAAAACGTATTTACAGAGAAAATATATGTCACAGATCCGGCACTTCCAGAAACATAACAACATTTCATTTCCCACGGAGGGGGAAAAACATCGAAAAAGGTTTTGTACCTGAATAAATTAACCTCGACGAACAGGTGATTCTGCTTCCTGTCCGACTCGGTGTCAAATATATTATGACATAGGATTGAGACTTAAAGTAGACTGTCATCTCTTCGGTATAGCGTGGCAAGTGACTAGTGACTATTGTTCTAGCGTTTTACTAGTGCAGTGCCATGACACGCGTTTCCATCAAAAGTACTTTGTTCTTCATCACGATTGAAACCCCAACTCCGCTGTTCTATCGATCGCTTGGTTGTCATTCATCATCGATGCGATTCTCTCGGTTATGATGTCGGAGCTAAACGCTGCATTGCAATGGGATGTCGCTTGGTTTAACTGGGCTAGACAAATGACTAAGACGAAAGCTTCCATTTACATATCTCGGGCCTAGAACGGTATTTCTCTCTTTACTCGGCTTAATCCACCACGCCCTCCTCCCCCTTCTCCTCATTATCACCATTCATCCATCAGTACCTTGGACATTGCGCTGTCACTTTCGTTGGTTCCGCGATCTCCAATCTCATCGCATCCGGCGGCATGTACGGCAACTGCGGCATTTGGGGACATTGCCTTGTTCTGGAAATACGTGGATGTTTTGTGTTTTTCCTGTTTCCCGTGTGAATAATTATTATATGTCTGCGTGTTCGGCCACGTAGTACTATTCACATCTATCGCCGCACCACATGTAGTCGTATGGTAAGTTTATCGGCCTCCTGAACCAATTACCGGTACAATCCTGCGTCCAAGCATGGCCTAACTTCCCCGCACATGAAAACGACGTTTTTCCTTTTTGGATATAAAAGTACGTACTTTGTGGCCAACTACTTTGGCTGTCGATCACGATAGAGGCACCAAGATTCCCCTTTTCGGGTCTCTTTAGCGCCTGTTTATACAAGACGCCCCTGTTCCAACATGTAATCGTAGTGAAACTTGCCACCTAAACCTCGTTTCCGCGGACTCTTTCGTCAATATACTTCGCGAGTACCCCACAACAGGCGCTTAGATTCGCTCTTAGGGGCACATGTGACCAAGCGGCGTCCTAACCTTCTTAATTGAATCTTGGTCCTCCCACTGCTAGTGCGGCATGTTTATTCTTCGTAAGATTCTCCATAGAATTATCACCACATCATACCCTTCCGTATCCTTCTCCCTCGATAAATCCCTTCAGACGCTTCACGATTACATCAAGTCCGCAAAGCCACTTCGCTAGCTCCGCATCTAACCTTTCCATAGGCGCACCTTGGGATATACGACTATAGAAGTCACGGCGATACGGTGCGGCCCGAACAGCAACCTGAAAGTGCCGGAATAAGTCAGGAGCTACATGCACAACAGAAGCAGACAGTGACGTACGGCGGCGAGTGACCGTACGAAAAACGTATGATGCTGCCTCAAGACTTCATCGTATGAACGCTTGAAGCACACGTGTAACTCCACCGAAGGGTCATTCTGCATGTGTTGAAGAGCTATTTCCTCCGAGTCAGTTGCCTTCTATGACTACACAGTCGGGGTTAGAATAACCTCTACATAGGAATGTCAAACCACTGTGGAAGTGACGCTACTGATTAGTGACACGCTATATTAAAGGGTCGAACATACCGGGTCAGGCGTATCAAACAACCGGTCCCATGTCGGTCACCATCTAATGATACTTCGCTTCTAACGAGATTCTCGAGCGTGGAGCAACCAAAAGAATCGGCCTGGTAGCGAGTTCGTACACCCTGTATCGCACAAAAAGAATAAGGGTTGATATAGGGTTAGACAGAGCGGAGAACGTTCCCCTATATTGCCCTTTATATCATTCTGAACAAAGCCGAATACACCTGAACCAAGTAAATCTAGAACGAGGGAAAATCGGTTGCCGGACGTAACCAATGATTGCATCGTACCGAACAATTGAACCAGCCCTTCAGAGGCTTCCAGAAAAAGCAAGGTTTCCACACCATCAACGGTGATTGGAACATCTGCAAATGACTATGGGAGCGTCAGTCTGCGAAATGCGGCGAGGTGAGCTATAGTACTTTGACAGTCTCAAAGTATGGTCGAGAAGACATCTTGTTGGTCAAGAAGAACGTTCTACGCTACCTCCTGGAGGGGATAGTGCCGAATTCTGGTCCATTAAAGCCTCGAGGACAGTGGCCAGGCAGCAAGTTTACAGCATAAATGAAATTTGACACGATTTTGCAGGATCGAAGGTCAACGTGTACTGACATATTGAGTTATACGTAATATTATTTTCCGCATTTACTCATTTGTCTACTGATCTTATCATAGAAATTGCAGAACTTCAAGAGGCTGTCTAGCCACGAGTCACGACGTTCGAGGTCACCAAGTGAGGTTTATAGTTCAGCAGGAAATTTGATGCTGTCGGTTGCCAGGACACAAAGGAACGTGTTGACAGCAAAGCAGCATCACCGTCGGTACTACTAGTAAGTGCACATAACAAAGGGTCTACGCATGGCCTGGATTTTGGTTTGTGATACTCAGCCCATCACTTAGGATCCAATGTCGCCCAATGATTGCTCCATAATTTCCTTTGTGGTGGCGTACCGGTACTTCCATGGCACGTCTCCCCTTCGCCGGCACTCGGTATAAAATCGCTGGTTCAATGCTATGGTTCGTGGTGAACATCGTGTTTGATCCCGTCAAGGACAGACTTACCGGCGAAAGGGATATGATCCTGATTCTCCTCTTCCGGGCCTTCATCGTCCGACAGTTCCATCGATCGTAACGTATTATCCTCAACAGAGTTCGCCGTTCGCGAAATGCCGTCAGTTCGGGGATTATCTAGCTCAAACAAGCTAGCAGCTGTCGGGCGCTGTTCTGTATTTGACGGACAAAACCCGTCTCCACTTCGGGCGAGTTTCTCGTTCTGTACATTTGAGTTCGTTACTCATTCCATTATTAGGAGACATTAGCTCACCTCGATCTTGTATATTCTTGCACACTTCCCTCGATGTTTCATCCATAATCCTGGGTAATATCTCGAGCGCTTGTCCAGGCTAATCTCTCTGTCACACCCACGGCATATGACGGATGTGGGTCGTACGTCGTAAGTGTACTTGTCGTCCTCTAACTCCTGTTTCCGCTGAGCCTCGTTTTTCCTCTGCTTGCTAGATCCCGCGACTTGGATGAGTGGCTCATCTTGCTTGCCATCAGCGGCATCTACGTTCTCGCTAGAGTCATATATAGGACTCTGTGCGTCATCGGGTTCGGAAGAGGGGTGAGATAGGGCAGGCCCACGCCGAAAGTCGAACTTTACTGGACATGCGAAATAGTGTTCATTGACAAGGAGGCTGATCGTGGGCCAGTCGGCGTGTGTGTCATATTCAAGAACGGTACGGCACCTGCCACACTTGTGGGTGTAGGTCCGTTTCGTGTCCGTTTTGGATATGGCAGCATGCTGAGTGGCGGCGCGGTCCATGTCTGTCTAGGGCGCGGCGGATGAGGGATTGGATCTTGATTTTTCGTGTTTTTGTACTTGGAAACAATGCCCTTTCGGATGTGGACGTGGACGTTTTTTCTGTCACAGTGGCGCGAAGTTTAGACTTGCCTCGGAGTCAACTTGCATTGTTCGTCCAGACCACCGGTTCTCAGACACATGTGGTATTCCAAGGCGGGCAATCATCACTTGTCATGAAATTCATTCACTGACTGCAGGCTAAGGATTCGTCACTCTTCTACACGTTGATGTTTTCCGAACTGCAGGGTACATCTCTACAAAGTATCCCCGTTGTGAAAGTGAAAAACTTGTCTGACATGATCGTCCCAGAAAAACGCACCAGCGTAGAAGTCAAGATAGACGATGGATATCCACTCTGGCCGCCGTCAGGATGCACAGATCAATATGGCCACATGTCTCGAACTTCTTCGTCGACACAGCCGCCACAATAAACGAGACTGCGCTACATTTGCGTCCACTATGTTCTTAGGTACAAAAAACATAAGTTCCATTTCGTACGTAACTAAAGTCATGTATTTCTGTTTTTCACGCTGACTGGAATCACCGAACATTCCAAATGCATTGTTTAGAATCGCCTGCTGGTCGTTCATTCGGTACAAGGGTGATAAGCCACAGAGCTTGCGTTCTTATGACGTCAACAACTCCACTTCCATGAAGGCTGTGGGTACATTGTTCTGATCTTCTCTGGTGCACCGGTGAGTGGCGACCTGTCGTAGCCCCTTCTGCCAAAGAACTCGACTCATTTGCAGGATCGCGCGGCGTTGGATGTAAGACGTAGATGAGAAGGATGCCTATGAAATTCTGCAATCACGTATGGGATTTTTTTGTTCAAGGACGTTGGAGTGGTACCCCTCCAGCGTGTTGCAAGCGGGTGTTTGCTACCGTTTGGATGGCTTAGTCATGGTATGGATCTGGAACACATCGATAACTGTGACTTTAGTAGTACTTTGCGAGTCAATCGTTTGTATGGTACTATACCCATTGTATGTTACCAGTTCCACATCAGCTTGAGCCGATGTACATGTATGATGGGATGTTGGACCAAAAATGGAGTCGGGGCTTTTGGCGTGTAGTCGCCAGTACCCGTTTGTTACCATTTGGATGGCTTAGTCAGTAGGGTCTAGAGCCTCGGGCGTTGTCGTAGCGTTCATCATTGAAAGGCTACCCACCACTGTCTGCCAGAGGCACTGAGGCAGGCACATATTACTTCATTGTGGATCAACTGTTTAATTAGGCAGAAGGTCCGGAAAGCAGGATGGCTATTAGATCAGCGATACCAAGAGTCATTTCCCCTAAATGGTGCAGTACCAAGTACCAAGTACTTACGGTGGCCGCATTGACATCACAGGGAGAAAGGGACATGTTTTGCATACGCATCATCGATGTGTCAGAGTCAGGGAAGCACTGGCAAGTGGTGGTGAACTGCCTCATTCAATTTCGAATGGCATGCCTGTCGGAAACGGACATGTTACAAACTATGGAGGTATAGCCTTGGTACAATCTGAGCACCCTGTAGCCAAGAGTCGCCACTCACGCATACTGGACTCTGATGTACGTAGTCATTACCACTAGGATAGGTACAACGCCGCTTTTGAGACAGCAATATTGTTCCATTCGTCATACTTGCTTTTGAGGCAAGGCCGAGGTTGTGCGATACACAGGGTTTGTCATAATGCCGTACGAATGTTTGACTCGTGACGTACGTAGGTTATAGTAGTGCAAATCCCGATCTCCCGCACAACGGAGGAAAACCACCTCCGGACCCAGAAGCAACACCAGAACTCGTTCTGGTAAACACAACGAACGAGTGTCGGATAGAACAGCGACGCACGGAGATTCAACGAGATGGAAAGGCACCCCATAAAAATTTCAAGCAAGGGATCAAAACTTGCAGGCTCAGGCAGTTTTTCACTCTGGCCTGCACCTTGCGATGCTTGTCCTAACGGTCCGTCAGCCTTTCAGCCTCCGTCACCCTGATGGCGGATTTGGTGAAGAGGCCCTTGGCAGTCGAATGAAATCTCCTAACAATCGGATAACGAAGCGACCACGCGGCAGGTTGCCTCGTTTCAAGGACTCGTTGGTTCTGCCGATAAATTTCAAGTGTCGGACGATGGCGCCACGCTCAAATGAAGCATGCGAGCCGAAATACTGTCCAAACAGATGAATAAAAATACAAGTCACCGAAAAGTAAAAAAAAACATCCGCCGCCGCCAGGGATATCGCCGAGTCAAGTCAACCGATTCGTCATCATACATTACATAGCTGAAAAGTAGGGCTGTGAGATGCATTGAGTTTGCAACTCAAGTGAAACTGGGGGGCGCCGGGCATGCCGAAAAAGCCTTAGCTTGTTGTTCAGATAGCGCACCTCTTTCGCACGTTGCAATGCCCACGACAACGTCTGATGCGCCTCAGCATTGAGCGCTACATGTGGTTGGATGTTTGCGCCTTTATGGCATGGCTCAGGAGACATGGGATGGTCACGGTCAGGGTTTGAGATGTAGCCACGTTCATGGTGTGGGATATGGTCAGGTTTATAGTTTCAGGGATTGATCAAGTGCTTTGTTCAGGGTATGGTCTGGTTCGTGACGGTATAGGGTCTGGGTCATGATGATATGGACGGCGCAAAGTGGCCGCTACAACCTGTCCATACAGTCTCGATGTAAGTCGAGACAACGCACAAACGGAATAGAGGGCAAGAGACGTTTTATAAAGGGAGAGAAGGAGCTCATCAGGTGGAGCACCGTAAGCGACCAAAAAGGATTTCATAGGCACGCTTCTGATGGCAGAACTGCTTCTACGACGATAGGCGCAGGCAAGACAATAATGGTGCCAAATCACGGTGGCATGCGGAGCGCTGAGATCTGTTCGGCGTTAGGAAGAGCGACAGCTCACCAGAGGGGGCGGTATGGCACTATCATGTGGATGGTGCACCGTGCGCGAGTGGAACATTTAAGCGCTGAGTATGTGGAAGGCCTCGGAGAGATCAAGTCGGGTGGAGGAACGTGGGGTCGCTGAGTATGAAAGCAGGAACCAATCCCGATAGAGTCGGATATGATTCAATTGCTGATAATTACGTAATGTATTCGGCGGATAATGTATGTGTCGTACGTGTCCTGATCCGGGTCGACAATGCATGCATGTTTACATACAACTTGTCACCTTAGTAGATAAAGATCTTTGGAAGTACTGTTTTTCACGGTTGCATGCAACCGCACAGCCCGCTGGTTTCTCACCAACCTCATCTGCAGAACTTGACTAATAAGTAGTAAGTATTTGTCTTCCAAAGTTCCCACCTACAAAATACATTTGATTCCGGTAATTGAGTTTCATTTTTCTTAGCTTTTCTCCCAGCATTATCCATGCCGCCGGACACAACGAAGGCCAAGTTGAAGCGCAAGTCAAGCCGCAGGGAGGGAGACGACTTCCGATTTGATGGCGGCCATGCGCGCGAGATCGAACAGAAAAGGAGTAATGGGCAGATCTCTTGCGCCGAGTGTAGGAGGTGCGACCTTCGCACAATTTTTATAGAAGCAGTCTGACATGATGTATGCATGTGTATTGTCTAAAGGCTCAAGATAAAGTGTGACAAGCAGATACCCTGCCAGTCATGTCAGGCAAGTACCACGCTACACAGCATCATCCTCGAAACTAAACGCCTATCACCTATCTATTTAGAGACGAGGTTGTGCTGCACTGTGTCCCAATGGTAAGCTATTTTCTATCTCATCCTATTTATGTTACCCATACATTCATTTACAGGCAGCTTGGCTACTGGACAGGGGACTCGGTACGCACCATCCATTTCTTGATAACTTTCATTGTCTTACTCTTCTGCAACAAGCTTCGTGCTCGCAGCAACTGAGCATCTTCATCGTCAGATAGCCAATATGAGTGGACGTATCCGCCAATTAGAAGACGCTCTTGGGGTCCTCCAGTCACACCATTCAACAGAACCCCACCCCCTCCTTCGTGACGACCTTCGTAGCGCGGATCAAAAGGATGAATTTAGCTCCATCACTCTCCCCGCTGATAATGCTGCGGGACCGTCGAATCCTCCAGAGATTCTCGATGGATTTGGAACACTTTCTATCACTGATCACGGTATATCACGTTTTTTCGGTCCTACAGGCGGATCCGAAGTAAGTGTTCTATCCTTCTCACTCAGAAGAGTTTTATTCATTCAGAATGTGATAGTGCTTGTTGATGGTACGCATTTTACTTTTTCTGAAGCTGCGTTCATGCAACCGTCCCATTAGTCGGATAAAACCATTATCAAAAGTGACAGCACAGATGCTTCTAGTCCCGAATCCGAAAGGGATTCAATGAGCCCTGGGCTACCGCCATCATTTAGGATGTTTTCGCCGGCCTTCCCTTTCACCCCTATGGGCCCAACAGCAGCTATTCAGAAATTGATAGAAAGTCATCTACCATCTTTGGACCGGGCCAAGTACCTTGTGCAGGTTTATTTTGAACAAGCTGGTTGGCTATTTCACACAGTGTCTGAAGAACAAGTGATGGAGGAGTTACTCCCAATATATTACTCAAATAACACTGCGACGCCGCCGGACGAACCCAGAGGAGCTTATGATCTCGGTCTTCTTTTACTTGTCTTCGCTATCGGAGCTCTCGTGGACCTTAAGCAGAATGCTACCAGCCCTGAGGCTGAACACTACCATCAACTTGCCCGCGCTAGCATCTGTTTGCAGCCGGTCTTGGAGAAGCCCTCCTTGACTACTGTTCAGGCACTTCATCTGTTGGGTGGTTACAACGCTATGAGCGGCAGTGAATTGGAGTTGACATGGTCATTGGTCATCCTTGCCGCGCATCTTGCCCAAACTGTGCGTAGTCTTTCCATTCATGTAATTCTCGCCTGATCAAAGGTCGTCTAGATCGGTCTTCGTATGTTTGTTCATGTATTATCAAGGAACAGTTTAATCTCACTCCGTACCATAGATCGGGATAGTGCCAAGTGGGGTCTTCCTACCAAAGTAGTGCAAAGACGGCGCATTGTCTTTTGGGATCTCTTCATTGCTGATGCCTGGGGTGTAAGCGCACCCTTCTCGTCGTTATGATGGTTTTATTGATATTCTCAACGCAGAGCTTAAACAACGGTCGCCCGCCGACCTTTTCTTTAGCTTACATCGACTGCCGTCTCCCTGAGTTTCCAGCTTCTGCCGGAAATGACGGGGAACCTGATTATGCGGCTGCTGCTGCTGCAGAATGTGAGTCTATACGTATTACTCCTGCCTTTACCCACTACATCTTTTGGTACAGTCTCGTCATGGGCTATTAGGTATGCGGCTGACTGCGTCGCAGAAGTCGCTACGCGTACGTTGACGGCTGAAGCGCCGAATTATGCGGTAATCATGGAAATCGATCGCAAAGTTCGCGAGTTTCCATTCCCAGATGTTCCTCCCTCGGCATTAGATATGTCTCCACCTCCAATGACATCTCCAATTCCTGAGGCACCACTGGCACAATCAATGGGCCGTCTTGTGCTGTCTCACTCTCGGGAAACTCGTAAGCAAACTGCCTTTGTACCCTTGGCTATCGTGGCTGATCTGTTGTTCAGTACTACTGTACATTCATCGTAGTTTCTTTGCGCAGGCTATCATTGATAACCCTGTGAATCCATTAAAGAGCACATACGCC